AAATTCTTGTCATATATACTTGTCTTGATTCCCCACCCATTACCTCATCATGCACACATGTGTGTATTCATATCTTTGTGGGGACTCTCCATTCATTTATATGGGAAAAACCCTAATCCCAACAATGAGAACTGCAACCCCTACCCAGCCCTAACCTTATGCAACCAAACAAAATACAAGACTTTGACATTTTTCTTTTTTTTTTTTTTTTGCAGTCACAGATTTTTATAAAATTGAGTTTCCCCTTGTGGGGACTGAACAAAATGGTTGTATTACATTGTGGGGACCTAATGGCAAAGTAATAGGTCCCTACAATGTAATACATACATGACCCTACGCACCTGTAATACATATATGACCTAAGCAGTGACTCAGTGGGCCTGTGATCAGATCGCTGGTTCGAGCCCTGGTCTCGGCAGAACAGTCACATGCCCTTGGGCCCTTGAACAAAGCCCTTAACCCCCAGCTCCAGGGGTGTTGCACATTGGCTGAGCCTGTGCTGTGACCCCCAAGCTATGGAGACCAAGATGGGGTCAGCAAAAAGAAGCATTCCAATGTATCTGTACTTGCACAAAAGGCAATTAAAGCATGTTTGTTACATGACACAACCATATTTAACATGTGCACTGTCATATTTTCTGTATCTGCTCATTTTTGGTGTTGTTTTGCCATCACATTTTCTTGTAATACTACTAGCAATTTTACCATGGTTCCTCCAAGTATGCAAGCATTAACTGAGCATTTGACGTTGTTAGTCATAAAAGTTAAGTGTATTTAATGCGTGGTGCCAATGTTACACATTTTAAGTATTTTAACTTAACGTCATATAATGTGTACAGACATAAAATGTGTTTACATAATAACAATTTCGAAAAGGATCTGCCCCCAGCTCACAGCCCCCTCACACATAGTTCACTGTTTTTTCCCTCCCGTCTGCGACCCCCTTGCATTTCCTTCGCACTCCACCAGAGGGGCGCGCTCCACAGTTTGAATACCTCTGGTCATTTTCTACTAATGTGGTTCTTCGGACCAGTAGATAAAATGTTACATAAATAAATATATACCGTTGTATTGGTGTGAAAAACCCGAATGTCGTTTAGGATAAATGTTGCCCACTTCACAAAATAAATGTGATTTCTTTCAAGTTATTTTGCCACAAATGTGTTATGGGCAGGCACAAGGGCGTGACTTTGGCTGGAACATTGGGGGGGTCGAGGTCTCCACCCATCACGGGGAAAGCATGATTATTGGGGGGTCGTATTAGCTGGTTTTGATTTATTGGGGGGGGGCTACAACCCCCCTATCCCCCCGTAATTTACGCCCATGGGCAGGCACATAAACGACTCCGTGTAGTTCTATGGTTGACTTCGCAAAGAAAATGTTACGAATATTTTCTCATTTCGGGTTAAGACATAATGGGACAGCAGTATCCATATTTAGCACCCATCCCTCGTCACACGTGAAGTCGCCACGAACGATCCGATCCACATGTTTGGATCCGATTCAGAATGACACACGTACGATTCTCACTGAAAGTGAAACCTGGCTGAATGCAATGCCCGTCCTACGCAAGTTTTGTTTGAGGAAACCTGATTGGTTGTGCCGCTTTTGGTCAGCCAATGAAAAAACATTATACATTCGCCATTTTGTGTGTGTGCGTGTCTGTTTTCCCGTTGCATGTGGTCTCGCTGGGTTTCAAGACTAAACCGGCAAGTTGCATGTGCTAATCGCGTAATTTTTATCTAGTAATACAGTATTTGTTACTTTATAGTAGTTCATAATAAACTGCTATTTTTCACTTCAGTTGAGTATAGCTTAAAGAAAAATATATTGAAACTGCGTCCTCCGACCTGTGTTGTGGCGTGGTGAGAAGATGTTTGGACATGTAACTATTGGATGGAGGTAGTGTGAGTTGTTTCGGTGACCAGGATGGACAGTAAATTTCCAGATCAGCTTTTTCCTGTTTTTTATTACACTGGGCCGCCGAAAAAGAAGGCCGATTGTCCTGTGCATGCTTGGGGTTTGCATGGCCACGTATATGGAAACGACTCCGGTTCTGCCGAGGTCAGTGTGTAAAGTATTTTCCTATATGCATGCATTATGCTTGTGTACTCCGTATCTTAAAAACATTTCAATTTATGTTTATGTTAGAGTGAAGATACTATATGACTTAACGTGACTAAGTTTTCCCAAGATAAAAACGAAGATTTTATAGGTTTGTCAGTTGAATGGTAACAGCATGTGCAGCATAATATTCACCGTCTTTAGCCCAAAGGCTTCATGGAGAATTTACAGTCAGAAACGTATGGGGGTTGAGAACCTCCTGTAATGTGTAGGGAGGTTTTAATATGCTGATATATTGACATATTAATGGTGTACATGTAGCTAATTAACTGGCATCCCATTCAGGGTGTACTCCAGCCGTGTGAATGCAGCCTGGGTAGATTCCAGTCAGCCAATGAAAGAACTCTGCCCCCCAAGACAGGATCACCTTTGATTCTGCATATAATTCTGTTGACTGGCGTTGTTAGGCCTATTTTAGGGGGCTTTAGCCCCCTCCAATAAATGTGTATTTATTGGCTTAAGTCATACATAGTTTGCCATCGCCCCCCCGGTAAAAACTCAGCCCCCTATTCATTCGCCTCTACAACCCTGATTCTATTTACCAGTTTTAGGATTCAAGTGATTATAGTGTTTAAGAGCCTGGGAATGTAATTTTACCCAGAGCCAGTCTGAATTAAGACCTGTGTTTTTTGTCTTTCTTAAACATAAAAATAGTATGTTTTTATTATTTTCTAAAACTTTGATTAGTATTTTTGTTCCTGAGTGTGTGTGACTTGATAGTACATTTGTAGTCAGTTTTGTCCTTTGCTGCGATTCTTCTTATGGGCAGGTGGCTGATTGGTCCTTTCTGGCGCAGCGCAAGGTGAATGGGCCAACATGGGCACCAGTCGAATCTATTGTAGCACCTCTTTTGCCACCCAAAAGCGGTTAGTAAAATTAAAATGTTTGTCTATTTCTTATGCTGAGTTATATATTTGTCCATTTAAAAAAGGCATTTTAAAACTGCACCCACATATTCAAAAAGCAAATGCAAATATTAAGTAATTTTTTTTACACTTGCTATAAAATAACAATGTTATAGTGTAATTGTATTTGCTTTCTTATCAATAGCAGTGATCTGGTGGCCCTTTAAATTCCAGTTCACCCAAACATAACTTGTCTATTTTATTTTGCTGTAGTTCAGTCTATTTTAGATATTTTTTGGTAATGTTTCTAACGTATAAATATGTTAGCATGTATTTTTGATTCACAGCATGCATCTCCCGTCTCTTTCAGTTAACAAATGGTCTTCACGTCATCTTCCAAGTGCTATGGACTTCCCAAAACACGTAAGTTTGCTGAAACTTTGATGTGTAAAATACAAAAGCTGTATATTACTGTTTAACCCAGGGGTGGGCAGTCTTATCCACAAAGGGCCGGTGTGTATGCAGGTTTTTGGGATGACCTGTAGGCCAGCTGTTCAAACCCAGGTGTGAGGATTCTTCATTCAATCAGTCCTCTAATTAGTAATCTAATTAGGGAGTTTCAGCGAAAACACACATACACACCGGCCCTTTGCGGATAAGATTGCCCACCCCTGGTTTAACCTAAAGCAAATATTCATATTTTTTTCTTCTGGTTTTGTCAAAGCCATTCATTTGAAAATTTCGGCTTGTCACAATGTATTTTAAAATAACTGCTCTTCCTACTGATATGATTCTGCAGTTAATCAGTGGTCTTCAGCTGTGGTGCAAAGGGTCAGTAGTTTTAATGGTTCGAGGACCATTGATGTTGGTAACACTGAAATAGTATCACTCTGATGCGCTTAATTGTACGATTTTCATAGATGCAGAACTTCTACCTGTATAAGTCCGAGGATGCCTTTAGCACGATGAACCATCTTCTTGAGGACCACTTTGATTTTGGAAGTGGGGAGCTGAAGGTACGTATGTGTTTTCTTGAAACACACGTGCAACTTTATGAGCCGAAGCATGATTTCATTTTGCCTTTGTTTAGGAATGTATGAAGAAAACCACTGTCAGCATGAAAAACATGGAGCGATTTATGTCTAGTGCAAAATTCATAAAGTAAGTCCACTGCTGAACACACTTATATTTTTATATACAAAGTATATAAGAAAGTTAATATATACATGTATACTGCATTTGTTAACAGTTGCATTTATTTATTGAGCTGATGCCTTTGTCCAAAACAGCGTATAATTGAGAGAGCAGGGTCACTCAGTCCCTTGAGCAATGGGGTGTTAAGGGCTTTGCTCAAGGGCCCAATGGTGCCCAACTGCTGACCATGGGATTTGAACCAGTGATCTTCCCATCATGGGCACCACATGCTAACCTCCTGGGCCACATCGCCCCTAAATAATAATTCTTTCATAATTACCATGTTGGTAGCACAGGGTGTCACTGATTTTCATTATAGCCTCACACCTCCTGCCTTCAGCTGAACCAATTTCTATATGTATTTGTATTCAAATTTTTGTTAACCACAGTCAATCTGTTTTGTGTATCTTTTTTTCCTGTACCATTTCATTTTTAAGGTGTCCTTTAAAACCTTTTGAAAAAAGAGCCAGCCTCTACAACAATTTGTTAGGCGATGTTATCCATGACATCCCCCCTGGGCTCTTGGGTGAATTACTCTATGAAGAGTTGACTCTGCAGAGGGAAGAGAAGCAATTCAACGAAGTGGCCACTGGGGGAGCTCTAGGCTTTTTTCTAATTTCTACTTCAAACACTTCTCAAGAAGGATGCCTTGTATATCCCAGGAAAGCTGCCCTTAATTCACTTAGTATCCTTTTTTCTTGGGTTGCATCTCTATTTTATGTGGTTATTCTACACAATTATTTTTTAAAGAAAGGAAATTGCCTTCTTGTTTATCCTAAATACAATGACCAGGTTTTTGTTTTGATATTATGATGCATCAAGCAGAAAACTTTACAGTTTGAGTCTCTTACTAATATTCAGATTTTCACAAAGTGGTTGTAGAGTTTCAAGAGAATATACCACGACCCAAGTTCATGAATAAGCCGATCAACTATGGGGTCAATGGCACTATTCGGCAGGTCAGTGTCGGCCCCATGGAGGAGAGTGGTGAGCAAATTTTATGTCATTGCTAGAATATAAAAATTAAAAATGTTAGCGAGTCATAGTCCAGCAGAGCTTGTAACACTTATGTATGTTGTCGTTTGGGAAATTGTGGATAGAAATGTTCAATTCAGTATTTTTGTTTTGTTAACTCTTGTCTGTTTTATTGCCTTTATCAGTTTATGTTGGGGTGCGTACGGATTACAACTGTGGAGTCTGGGTAGCTACTTCCGCTCAGAAGCCCCAGCCGCTTGATGTGGTTAACACACAAGAGAGGGCCACCTGCCTCACTGTCAGGTAATTCTTCCTAAAGCATTTAGCTAGTGAATGATTTTATCTTGCTACAGGTTTGAATCATTTAAGACTGCTGCAATATATGACTGAAGCTAATGGGTGGCTGTTTTGTTTGTTTGTTTGTTTGTTTGTTTGTTTGGGCTTTCTAGTCCACACATGCCAGGGGAACTTCTTGTTGCCAGCGAGAGTGGAGTTGCATATCTCTGGACTGTAGGAAGAAGGTGAGAAATGCAGCATCGTGTGAACAGATTTACTGTTATCGGAGTACTTCAGCATGTTTGTTTGTGAGTGTTGGAATTCTATAGACCTTCCAGTAAAGTTTGTCACCCAGTAAAGTTGGCCATCCTTAACAAAAATGATGCTTTGTGTTTAGATGTTACCTAGACTGAATTTAAAAAGAAAAGGTTTCTGAATTGTCATTCTTTTGTTTATGGCGTATGAGATATTTAATATCCTGCTATTCCACTAAATGTTGCTAAAGATTTAGCTTAAATAGTTTACCGGTTTATAGATATTAAATTGTTTCATGAGATTTAACACTGGCCTGTCTTGGGTTTTACTGTAGTATCTGTGCCCTCAGTTTTTTGTTTAGATGAGATGTGTTCAGTTCTTTGTCTTTCAAAAGTAGACATTAATTTTATACCACGATTTTATTTATTGCTACCTGTATATGTTGTTTTGATTGTCAACCTGCACTTGACCTTCTAGCCTTCAGAAGTTCCGTGAGGAGGAGGGAAACCTTTATTTCAATGCCAAGTCACCATGGCGATGGTGTGACTTCTCCGCTCATCCCAGGGTGATGCTGTATGCTGACCGAACCGGTCTGGAGCTATCAGACATCAGGGTGACCACTTCTTGTGTTTTGTTTCATTGACATTTCTTCTCTATTCGTAATGGCAATACATTTAATCTTTTATATGCTAAAAGTTTGTTTATTTCTATTTTCCAAGTATCTGTTGTCTTAAAAATCCTGTTTACAATTTTCCCCTCTCCATTAGTCCAAGGAAACCTGCAGCCATACTGTGTTTCGCATCGGGGCTACCTCAGGCTGCAAGAGTGGCGAGAGGGTTATCTTATCCAGGTACCTCTGCAACGTGAACACACACCACCACCTTGTCACCACTCAGGTAAATCACTCTTCTTGCTCACAGTTGGGTTTCAGTTGTCCCAGGTAATGGATACAAAGCTTAAGTATTTCTTTCTCCTGCAGCATTCTGCATACATCATGGACGAGCGCTTTCCGTGTTTGCCCATGATCAAATGGGATCACATGATGGCAAGCCCACCCATGTTTGCCCAGGCCGTTGGTACGGCATCACAGCATCAAAACACAGTGATTTTAGGATCCCAGTCTTCCCAGGAACTAACGCTTCTGCAGTATAGTGGTATGCCTATAGCTGAAGTTCTATTAATTGTAATTTTGCATAATTTTACATGATATTTTAGATGTAAATTTTAAATCCTTCCTAATTGGTAGGTGGGAATGCAGTTGCCGCCCAAGTCTTAGGAGCTCCTCAGAAACTGTCTTGTCCTATGAAGAGCTTGGCTGACCTCCCCGTCCAGATCCCTCACAGGCAGAAGAATGTCCAGGAAAGGCTAACGGTGCCTGCAGCTGGTAAGATGGCTGTTATTCTGCTTTTAGTGAAATTCTGTAGTTAAACGGTTTGTATTGTTGGTTGTCTTGATTCAAATTCTCACAGCAGTCGGTTTATTATGTCCTGTAGAATTAAAACGTCTGGCGTGTACAATTTACTGGACCTTATTATAAACTGATTATTAATAAATAGTCTGTGTTGTATTAATGTTGTGTTAATGAATCAGCTGACGTGCAGTTTACTCTCTCTGATCCAAGGTATTGCATCAATCTACTATGACAAAGAGGAGTCCCTCTGTGTGCTCCAACTCTCTGAAGTTGGGGATATCTTCTACCAGACTCTAAGACCAGCCAGCCAAGACTCGCTGCAAGCAGCACACAAAGAGATGCTGAATGAGGATTCTGTCACAGAACAGTCTGGTTCATCACCACAGGAAAGCCAAGAGTCTGTTAATAACCCAAGGACTAATATTGTGAGTCAGTCAAAGTGCAAAATTGTCAGTCAAAGTGACTGTCCGCCTGAAACTTCAGACGCGCGAATACATGGTATTAATGAACCTTGTGTAAATATGATCCTTAACCCCCTGACTGAGCAAGAGGACGTCAGTCTTTCGAAGGACATACCAAGGACAGCTAAAGTCAGCAAGGCGACCCTCCTGAAGTGGAAATCTTGGCTGAATGTGCTTCGTAACGGGCAAAGGTCTACCCCCAGGTACAGCCAGTTACATTGGACCTTAAAAACAAAAGACCATTTTACCTTTGACGGTAAACCTAGAGATATTCTGGGGAAAGACCAAATTACCAGTCTGAGGAATAACATGAGGGAAGTCATGGAAAAAAAATCGGTGCTGACTTGTGGTGCCACCAGCCTTTCACCGCCGGAGGTACTCCCCACCCCCCACCCTGTGGACACTCAGTCTTGGGGCGATGACTTGAGTCAGCGGCTCTCTGCATCCTGGGAGGGAGGTTGGAAAGACTGGTGGGAAGAAAAGCTGGGCCTGAATCGGGAGAAGAGGATCGAGGAGTTGCGTAGAAAACGACGGCGGCTAAAGCGGACCCGAGGCCCTCGTGTTGCTCTTTCCGGAAGCTTCACCACTTCTGCTAGCTACCAGTCAGATCTGGATGGTTGGTCCTCTGCTGTCAGTGATTTTGGTGGTCAGGATCCTGATTTGGATAGCAGCACTTTTTCTGGGTACCTCTCAACTCAAGAGGATTCTGCAGAGCCTGAGAGAACAGGAAGAGTTCTTCAGCACGAGCCTAAGGGCTCTAAACTCAGCTCAGAAGAGAAGAGCAACGTAACATTGTCAAGGAATAAAGCTAAAATGCCAAAAGATCCATCTCAGGAGGGGAACCCTAAGGCACCAAAACAACTTAAACAGGATTACATGAGCGCTCTTTTTAGCTCCCAGGAAGAGGTAGTGGATGCAGGAACAGAGGGAACTGATTTCTTCTTTCCTATGTCGTTATCTTCTCAAGTGTCCTCCATCTCTAACTCCCAGAGGAAGCCCTCCTTGGGCCCTTTCTCCCAGTCCTCCCAGTCATCCAAGCAAGGAAAGAAGAGAGCACGCATGGGCTTTTAAATGCTGAAGAGTAGACCTATAGCCTGTCTTAATTCATATCTGCTGATGCTTCTGTTTCTGCATCCTTAATTATGCTCTGGTAAGTTTATTAAATGCCAGTTTAATTTGGTTCTCAGACTAAACTTCAAGCTTGGAGTACTGATGACATGTACAAGTATTGGAGATTGTGGAATGTGAATTGCAGAAGTTCCTCTCCAATTAGATGACCTAAGGTGACTGAAGGTGGTCGTTTTATGTCAGAGGTCCCCAAATTGGGGGGGGGGGGGGCTTTTTATTGACCTACTTGCGATGATAAACTGATATATAATCCCAAAAACTGTGATTAAAATGTATTGACACTTTCATTAATAAATAAAAATGAGATGAAAATGTCAGGAAGTGACAAAATTGAAACTGGTTCAATCAGAAGTTGTCTATACTTAGTGTTGATTGGATAATGCTGATCAGACCAGCTTTAAGTGCGTAAACTGTGCATCCATCTGACAAGTAGAAACTATGTGGTTTTGTCTAAATTCTCCGTAAACTGTTTTGGAATTACTTTATGTTTGTGCCTCCAGCCAACTTTAGGTACAGAAAAACGTACCAACATATGACTAAGTTTCAGATTTGATGGAGAAGATGACGAGCCTCAGTAGGAACTGCGTGGAGCGGCAATAACAGATAAAAACACCACAAACAGCCAAGTGCTTTTCTGAAACAAATAGCTGCTTTTTCTTTTAATGTGTTTGAAAGGTTCACTGTCATTGAAATTAATTGCCATGGACTGAACTAGGTGTATAAATAAACACAACGTAGTTGGTTTTCACTAATCTGATACTTGTACATTTTTGAGAGAGGACACTTGGGGGGGGGGCAGGTTCCACAAAGCAGGATTTGAAGTCCCATGGTCCCATAGGAATGCTGCTTGAGTCTTATTGGACAATCATGACCTCCATCTTAAGTTAACCCAGCTAACTCAGAAAACTTGCTTTATGGAACAACCCCTTGGGCTGTGTTCAGTCCCAGAAATAAACATTTGCTTCTGGATGTGTCTTCCATTGAAGTGAGGGGGGGAATCCCCAAAATATCTGTCTCATAGATGGCTGTCAAAACAAGTAAAGTTTGATTCCAAATGAAATGCAGTAAGCGCACTTAAATTGGTCTTCGTTCACTTGGTTTTCTGTCCTTACAGCAAGTGTACAAAATCTTAGCTTGCATGTCACTGTATCCCTTAATTCACAGTGTGGGAGGCTAGATCAGCTGGACACTGCCCTATAGCAAAGAATTTTCACAAATACAAGCTGCTACTAATTAAATTTTTATTAATTCATGTATAAACATCAGATGGAAGTGGTGAATTTTGTGTCATGCTTCAGTTTGTTCATCAACAACACAAAACCTCCTGATGTTGGTCTTGAGTGGTGTTTAGTTCCTATTTTAGTTATGCTCTTCCCTTGGAGAATAAGAGCTGACTTCTTAAACATCACTGATTAAATCGTAAGGGAGTTCATTCACAGGAAGTCAACGTGGGAAGCCAACATCTTTGTTTAGACCCGGATGCAGCCCTTAGTTTTCTTTATCCAAGTTCTATGCACTGGTATATGAGTCATATCCAAGTATTTTGTTTGAGACTAAATTTTGGTTTTATATATTGTATTTAATATAAATATATATAAATCCACTAGAGAACTAGTGCAGTGTTTCATATTGCAACCTTTACAACAGTCAAAGTGTGTGTGTGGATTTACTCCGCTCTGGGTGTGCATGTTTATGTATTATGTACTCCATGTCTGTGTGGGTTTTCGTCGAGTTCACTAGTTCCTTTAAGCATAAAGATAAGCTCTCCAGTCGAACTGCTTGCTCCGCGTTGACATAGAGAAGTATGTATATGTGTGTTATGCATATATTACTTTATAATTGTGACAAAAACTTATTTTGATGATGTTGGGACCATTTTTTCAGTCCCCTCAAATGGAAACTGTTTTATAAAAATCTGTGGGAGCAATCAAAGAACTAAAAATGCCAAAATTTTGTTTGGTTACCTATGGTATCTGTAGGTCCAGCAGAGAGAGAGTGTGTGTGTGTGTGTGTGTGTGTGTGTGTGTGTGTGTGTGTGTGTGTGTGTGTGTGTGTGTGCGCGCGCGCGCGCGCGCGTGCATTGGGGGGCACGAAAAACATCTGCAGATGGGTGACCTGGCAGAAAAAGTTTGGGAACCACTGTTGTATGGATAAATATTTTAGCTTTTGATGATTAAATTGTTGTTTACAATCTAGCAGGATGTGGTTGTGGTTGTTACAATTGCCATATAAGTGGCTGAAAATGTACAATATTTTTTTTTAGAAATATGAGGCTAGTTTTCCATTATTACAACTGTAATTTATCTGTACATTATTGAAATGGGTTTTTTAAGGTTCTTGTCCACTCTTGTGTACTGTGATTAAGTTTCATTAAACTAACAATGTACATAAAATGTGCTTTTATTCTTAAAGCTGTGTGTCTGGCTTAATCCTGAGCAGGCTAACGCAGACTTCTTGGAAATGTGGCAATAGTGTGGTAGGAAGATGTTTGAGTTGAGAAAGTGAACAAATACAATGAAATTAGATTATATCACTAAAACACAATATTGTCCTATTACAATACATGTCAGCATGTGCCTTAGTATGGAGGTAAATGCTTCAGACTTGCTAAGACCTGGGTCCTGGGTAAGATGGCGATAATCTGCTTTAGATTTGGTCATTGGGGAGGCCATGAAAGGTGTTTAATTTATTTAGAATCTGTATTTGGAGGCATTGATATATCAGAACATTATAAGCGAATTGTCTTTGCATCACTGGGTGCACCTGACCTTACAGTGTGGTCTTGTATTCTTTGGCTATATGAGCGAGGAGAGCAATGTTTCCCAACCCGGTTCTGGGGGACCCACAGATGGCCCATGTTTTTGCTCCCGCCCAGCTCCCTGCCAGACAGTACACATTTTTGCTCCCTCCCTGCTCTTGGGAGCGGGGAGGGAGCAAAAATGTGTACTGTCTGGCAGGGAGCTGGGCGGGAGCAAAAACATGGGCCATCTGTGGGTCCCCAAGGACTGGATTGGGAAACCCTAGTGGAGAGCCGTCACCAGACCTTATGACTCCCCAGAGGTAGTTGTCCATACCATTACAGATCCATCCCCACATTTAACATCAGACACTTTCACATTGCTGGAACTTTTTTTTGCTGGAACCAGAAGGTTTTTTTCAGGGATCAGGGACTTGTGTCGTATTCACGCCGCAGGAACTTGGCCTGGTTGTAGTTCCTCAGAGGCAGTTCCGGAACCATGAATGGAATTATTTTTGTACCTCAAATACATTTAATGTGTCAATTAATACATTTTTCGCTTGCGGCTCCGTATTTCTGCATCGGAAAATTTGGTCATTAACCAATATACTTTTGTCTAATTAATCAATCATAACAGTTCATGCATCTCATGCTGTAACTATATCTGTTCATAATTTGTGCATGAGTAGTAACTGAGTTGCTAAGCTACTTGTGCTCCCTTAAGTAAATTACCCACTAACTCTTTGGCCTTTTGGAACTTGTTAGCTGCCTTATGTGGTGTTGAAAACCACATATCAGATTATAGATTGTCAGACCTTTGACACTTGCTAATTGGCATTTGGCTTAAGATGAGGTGGCTTGGTAGCTGTGTTGGTCATTGTGCTTAGTCAGTTTGAAGTCCTTTTTTTGATGAGTTGCTTTTGTCAGTCCATTCCTTGTATATAACCCTGGATTAAGAAGAAAAAAAAATAGTTTCAAATATTTTAAATGGAGCAACTGTTTACAACATAATTTTGGAAGAACCTCTAACTAATATTTCCATTTAATTAAATGGTTCGTTTGTTCCTGGGGAAGATGGGATGTCCGTTTGTTTGCATAGTTCTTAAACGCCCATTGTGATCACACAGCCTTCTCGGAAGTCTGCAATGTCAACAGGCTGATAAAGACAAAAATAAAGTAACAGGATTTCTGTAGCACCCTTTTGGCCATCTGCAGAAATATGATATTTATACACGTGCCTGTCTACAGTGCTTACAATTATGTGTTTGTACCAAACGTAAAAAAATTAGTGTTCCTGCAGTTTTGCCAATAGAATGTAATGGGATTTCAAGTGCTAAATGTCTAAAAAAAAATGTACGAGTCATACAAAACCGCCATAATATAGAATATCACCAAAAAATGAGAACTTTAACATAGGTAAATTTCTTTCTAGGTTTAATTGCCATTCATCTGCTACATAAAAACCCTACAGTGCAGTATCTGGCTTTCTGCTGAGAGGTAAGTGTGAGAAGCTCTGCTTTCAAAAAGATGTAAGTCTTGCTATATTACATCTCTTAGTTAAGGTTGTGCAGGCATGTGGAGATACATCTGTTTTTATTTTGGAAACTTAAAATTATGTATTTTGTTTTTTCTTCACACATTAAATTGAATCATAGATGTTTAGGTGGAGTTTAAGGTCAATCATACTTTTTTCTCTTATTTCAAATGTTTAGGATTATAATTCAATTGTTCTATCTATTTTCTCTAATTGCTTATTCAGAAAGACAGATTCACCTTTTTTTTAGTCAGGAAAGAAGCCCACAAGATGCAAGAACCACACACACAGTTGGACTCAAGACTCTGACCCCCAACCCTAGAGGTGTGAGACTATGGCACAAACCACTGAGTCACCTTGCTGCTCAAACAGAATATGCAAGGAAGTTGAAGACATACTGAGCATTCAAAATTTACAAAGTAAAGATATGAATGTTTATTTTGAAAACTTTTGGCATCGTGACTAGAGAATACCCCGGCCTTTTGCCCTGTACTGCCTGGCACTGGTTCAGCCCCCCCATCCCCCATGACCCTGACCACAGTAAGTGGATGGAATGATCTTTAGACCTCTCTTCAGTCTGGTGTTTCTCAAAGAAAGCTCACTGTTGTACTGTGGGCTGATATCTGGCTTAAGTCTGACATGCAAATCTGGAGCACTTAAAGACCATCATTCAGTGTAGCAAGTGAGTTCAGAACCAGAAAATTCAAGTAAAATATGTATATCAATACATACAGTATGTGTACATAGTTACTGGGCCTTTCTACTAACACCACTTACAGTAGGTAAAGATTCACAGTAAACAAATTTATAACTACAAATTTCTATGAATATATGTATTTTAATACTATCAATACACATGTTAAGATAAAAGCCAAAAATATAATTTTTTGAAATTGCATAACCAATTGCCCGGGGGAAGGGATCAACTGTACGGTGTACCTTTTCGCGCAGCTTTCACACGGACATTGTAACTCTATTACATAAGCAGTATTGTTATGTGTTCATTCGCCATAAAAAATAGTTCCAGCAAAGTTTATGAAAACGCCAACATGTAGGAAACATGTAACAATACAAAATTGTGCAGAATATAAGGTAGAATATTAAATATTATTTATTTGCGGAAAAAATATCCGTAATTTGCTTTTGTTACAGTGATAATTCATATTATGTCAGATGACGCAGTAAGAGAAGGTCGAAGTATCCTCCTTCCTTTTCTGTCCCCTCAGCGGAAGTAGACGTGCTTGTCTATTCCGTTCCTTATATTTTTAATTTCACTTCATAAGGAACATTTATTTTCCCCTCCCCTTAGGATAAACGCAACCTAAGGCCAAAGCCAAAATGGACGACTAAACTTCCCATTATATTATTATCTTTTTTATTTTACTTCAGTTTAATGGACCGGATGATTGTCACCTCCAACTGTGATTCTCACAGCTTTGTAGGGGAGGTAAGCGAAATAATTTATTTTAGCCTAAAACGATATGACTGTTTAGAACATTATCTGCAACATGAATAAATAACTACCGTTTCTGTGTTCGCTAGGATTATAAATTCTACGAATAGCCAACCAACAGGTTAGCTACGTTATAGTAATAACAGTAGCGATTATTATTATTGTTATTATTATACTATTATTAGTGAACTGTGCCAGCTGAATATATGTCATTGTAAATCGGCCTATAACTGTTAATTAGCATTCTTGTAATGTGTGGCCATACTATATTTAGGCCTATTTAAATATGAGCCAGTGTGCATGTTAACCAGACGGTCTGCCAAGTTAGCAGTTTTCGATGAGTTTTTAAATGTCTTGGGTGTATAGTTTATATTCTGTTAGATGACATAGGTTATGGCTGTCGGTGTAACATCATGTGATTTCGCCGTCTCCTCTGTGCTTCTCAGACACACAGCAAGTTCCGGCTCTTATCAGGATTTAAAGGGCATTCATTTCCAAAACACAACAGTAGACATGCACAGTCTTCATAAAATAACAGCCTGAGAACATAAATATT